ATCCTCTTCCTCAACAAAAGATAACCACAAAATGACAAATTTAAGACCTCGAAAATGCCTCAAGTTTTATTATGCCTCTATTTATTATAACCTATAATAAATAAAAGTCATTCCTCTTCAAAGACTGAGGAAAATAAAACATATAATGAAAAAAAACCAACAACAAAAAAAACAACCAACAACAAAAAAGCCCAACAAAATACTATAAAACAGTGGTTTTGTTGTAACACACACCATTGACGACACCAGGTTAAGTTTTTCTTCAAGAGAGGAAACACCTCTTCAATAAAGGCTAAGCTATTTCTTGGTGTACATCCTGCAAGTCCTCAGGACATTAACATCACAGCAATATTTATAGAGTAATGGACTTGGCCTACATCAACAAGGCTCCCCATTTCAAGAACAGCAGACAGCCTGGGCTCACAGCCTCCCCACTCTTTGCCCTCCATTCTCCCCTCACCCAGGTTCCCCACAGCCTGAAACCCACTCTTCAGCCTACCATTTTTCCTCAAGAAAAAGAAAAAAAATGACAGAAACAGCTTAGTAAATTCCACACAGACACAGCCCAAGCAGCTTGTACCACCTACCTTTGGCCTGGACTGCCTCTCCCTGCCCTGGCAGCAACCAGCCCCTCACATTGCTTCACCACCTTCCTTCCTCAGCCCTCCCAAAGCCCCAGCTCAGCCCTTTTTCCTCTTCCCCTGCCACAGCTGTGGAGCTACCACAGCTGCAGCCAACAGACTACTTCATGTTAACCTCAATTTTGGGTGGTAACTTCAAGTAACACTGTTCTCACGAAAAATTTACCTCAGGTGAAGGTTTGGGGCTCACAGCTGATGACTTGCAGCAGCCTAAGTGAGAGCAGGTGCTGCAGGAGCCGACCTCGAACCCAGCCCGCTCGCAGGCTGGGGTCCCTCAGGCCCAGTGGGCCTCCCTCAGCTAAACATCTAGCTGGGGATATTTCCAACCAAAGAGAAACTGCATATTTTAAAATAAATAATCTTCTATGCACTGTTTTTCTCAGTTTCTCCTGTAAGAGGGAAGCTAATGGAAAAATATTTCTCCTCAGGTCAGTGTTTGTTACTCCTCTCAGTGTCATGTTTCCTTGCAGCCAGACTGTTTTCCCAGGCAATTATTTTCAATAGCCTTAATGTTCCTCAGCCTCCAAATGTTAGGAAATGCTACTTACACTCTTCCATGTAATAGAGTTAGCATTACTGCTGCAGCCTCTGTCCTGTTGGAGGTTTATGGGCAGTATCTCAATTTCCCATACAGTTACTTGCTTGAGTGAATACCAGGCAATCCTTGTTTACCCAAGGAGGAGGGCTATTTTTAACATAATTTTTAATATTGTCATAATTTACCCACCTGGCAGCTGTGTCTCTTGCCTTCACTACTGACAGAGGAAGACAAACTCACTCATCCACAGACTCCCTTGATCACTGCAACCATTTAATATCTGATCTTGCCTTTTCCAGACATGCTTCTCATGGTGATTCTGTTCCTGCTCTGTTCCACACCACATCATCACAATGTGGGCAGAGTTTGGGCAGTTTCCTCTGAACAACATCTCCTTCACCTTCTGCAGCATCTCTCACTGCTTAGCCTACAGAAACTCTTGCATCAACCCCATAATTTATGCCTTCCTCTCAAGAGAATTTCCACAGGGCCTGCTGCCAAGCCTTCAACCGCAAGTTCTTCCTGCGCCCGGATCCCACAGAGAAACTGGTCAGAATATGTACAGAGAACTTCTCTATCACACACTCAACCACCAAAATGTAAATTTTCCTCATCAATGCATTTCAGGAGGAAGGGAAAGGGCCCAGTCCGGGGAGAACAGGTATACTAGTGCATTTAAGGGAATGGTGCAGCCTGCAAAAATGTGGACTATGTCAGATCACAAGCGATAGGAGGCATTTTTCCACCTGGCTGTTAAGACACTTGACATACCTTGTTCTAGGGTACCTTGCAAGTATCTGAACGTCCTTGTAGTGCCCCTAAGACAGAACTAGGTATGAAATAACCTCATCCTCACTTTAATCATTTTGGTTTAAAGCAGTAAAAAAACAATGGCGTATACAAAAGAAATTTTGTATTCTGTTACCTGTGAGTCAACACATTTCTTTCCTTAAACAGCAGACATTGGGGTTTGGTTTGTTTTCACAGGGAGTTCAAAGACTGGACATGTCACTACAGCACGCAGAAAAAAATGAGCAGAAAACACTGGAAGTGTTTATTATTATTATTTAATAGAACATGAAGCAGCAAGATCCTCTTCCTCAACAAAAGATAACCACAAAATGACAAATTTAAGACCTCGAAAATGCCTCAAGTTTTATTATGCCTTCTCCCATTCCCACCAAACTTTAGAGGTCTAAAATTTGCTGTCCTTTAGTCTTTCCACACATATCTAATTGGTCAAGTTGAAACAAAGTTACAAAAACATATTTTTTTTCCCTCTGCCACAGTAGCAATTTTTAAGTTTTAATAACGAACGTTTAGCTGGTGTGAAGTGATGAAATACAAGAGCTGCACACAGTACAGGCATATATTCAGCCTGATTTGAATTTAAGTTTAAAGCCCCAACAAAATTAAACAAAATCAATTGATGAAATCATTCTTCAGCCTTCACCAAAGGCATCTCATTACTGACTTTTGGAAAGCTGAGAGTTGTGGTGCCTCTGGAAACAACTACTGCAGCTTCCAAACAGTCCACAAAGCTGAGCTGCCCACCTGGTTCTCAAGCTGTATTCTCTGTTCTTTCAGACCACCTACACACACCAGCTCACTTCCTCTGCCTTAACGACTGCAAGCTTAAGTCCCTATCAGACCATTTATCACTACTTGACAACTTGAATCAACCTCCTTTAGGTGGAGGCTCATTAATAGAGGAGTCCATGCCTGGAAGGCCTGTTTTTTTCCGGGCTGCAGTCTCTATTTTCCGCACCAGGTCGACATCCCACCGATGGGTGACAAAACTAACCACAACTCCAGGTGCCTTGCTTCCAACCCGACCCACACGCCCCGCACGGTGCAGGTAGTCCTGCAGCGTGTCTGGGAAGTCATAGTTGACCACCAGCTGCACACTGCTGGTGTCCAGCCCCCGCGAGGCAAGGTCAGTGCAGACAAGGACTGACACGTCACCCTTCTGGAAGGAGGCAAAGATGCCAGCTCTAGCATCTGCTGACATCTGTCCCTGCAACCTCAGATGCTTGATTTTGTGGTCATCCAGGATATAGCCCAGCCAGTTGACAGTGCTGGCACTGTTGCAGAAGATGAGCACAGCCCCGCTGGATGCCGAGCGCTCCTTGAGGAGCTGCAGCAGCTCCGGCAGCTTGTCCCGGCCTTTGAGGCGCACAAACTTCTGTGGGACGTGGGGCGGCAGGCGGTGCAGGCTCTTGGAGGAGAGGGTGACGAACCGGCCCACGTCAGTAAACTTGCTCAGCGTCTCGCTCAGTCCCGCAGGGAAGGTGGCTCCGACCGCCACCCCCTGGGGCCTCATCTCCCCGGGACCGACCGCCCCGGGGAGGGCGGGGGGG